TATCACCCTCATACTCTTCGGGGTCAACCCTCACCGGCACCTGGTGCGATATTATCGCCGACCGGCCCGCGAGCGGCTCATCCCTGAACCGCTCCTCGTGGAAGGTCAAGGGTTCCGAGATTTGCATCTCGTTTGTCCTCTCGCCGCGATCCGCTATCGGTGTGGCGCCTTGGACTGTGATGGAGGGCGGGGAGTATTGCTTCGGCACGCGGATCCGCGGCACCGAGGGGAGGGATAGGGACGGTATCCTCTTGGACTGCTTACGGCCGGGTGGTTTTCCTGGCGGCGGGGGCGGGATGTTGATCATCTTTGGTGTGCTGTTGATCACGTTGTCGCTACGTGATCCGTGGGATCTCGCGGGTGATGGCGTCCGGGAGACGGCGCGGGGTGGCGGTCTGATGCCGCTTATCGTGCCTGGCTCGTCCGTAGCTGTCAGGTACGTCTGCAGCGCGTACGAGTCTGGCGTGTTTGTCTTGCGCGGGATCGCGGCGTTGACGTTCAAGTTCAGGTTCGCCGGCGGTGGCGTGGGCGTGGGCGTGTTGGTGCGGCCCGACTGTCGGCTCATGGCCCGCGGGATGTACGCCGGGTGCGTGGGGAGGGCACTGCCGGGCCCGTGGAAGCCCGAGTGCGGATCAAAGTTGTAGTGGGCCATGTCGCGGCCGGCGTGGACCTCCTGCTCCAGCTTGTCGTAGTACTCTGCGTTGTTATTGAAGCTGTTGTTGTTGCTGGTCGCGATGATGTTCTTTTCTTGGAGCTCGTAGTTGTACGAGTTGATGGAGGAGGATTTCTTGTGGTCTCCGACGCCGCCGCCGCCGATGGGGAGGTAAGGGCCGTTGCTTATGGCTGTGAAGGAGCTTGCGTGGCTCCTGGGCGGGTGGTGAGGGGGTAGGTAGTCTGCTTCGTCTTGCATTCTCTGCTTGCGCTGCTTGCGGCAGTAGATGACGAAGAGGCAGATAGCGCCGACGAAGACGAGACCGCCGCCGACGGCGATGCCGACGATGGTGCCGAGGGTCATGGTTGTTGAAGAGGCGCCGCCGTCGCCTGGTAGAGTCGTGTTCGTGTTCGAGTCTGTGATGTTGACAGGTTCGGTGGAGAAGAGCTGACCAGTCAGGCCGAGGAGCGTTCCGTTGCCTGGTTGTTGCTGGCAGCCGGCTTTGAGGGCAATCAAGACTTCAAGAGGGCATCAGCATACGTTGTCTTTCGTTTGTGAAAAAGGGGCGGCGGCTCTGGTGTAACCACTTACAGTTTGAGAGGTAGCTTTGGCTGTCGCTTGATTGCAGACACCGGACACAGGACCACCAATTTGAGCTTGAGAACCTGTCACCGTCGGCTATGCAGTAGTCGTACGCGGTGTTGGCGTCTGGGGTGGTGAGGGCGGTTGCGAGAGCGTTCTTCAGAGGTCGACAGGCGCTGTTGATGATACACGGGGAGTTGATGTGGGATATTGCGTCCGGGAAATCAAAGAGGCAGACGTCTACTGCGTAACGGATATTGTCTAAACGATCTCAAATAAGCCAAGAATTCTCGAAAGCCTCACTGATACTCCCCTGAATGAAGGAGAGGGAAGGTCTTACACAGAAACCAAGAGGCGTCACTCTCTGCCCCCTTGGACGCCTGGCTTTTCTGAAGGCACGAGACGCAGTTCCTAAACTTGATTCCCTTGCCTGTCGAGTGGTATTGGTCGTCTTCGCAGACTATGTCGGACGAGTTGGTCCCTGATGTCGTTGTGTCGATTGCTGTTCCGTTTGGCCCACCCAAGCACAACGCCGCACAGTCTGAGTCGGGTGTGACCTCGAGGGAGAAGACGACCGCGACAAGCGAGAATACGAACAGGAGATGCCACAGAGACGGTACGGCCATGATGATGTTACCCTTTCCACGTCCTGCTGGTCTGGACTTGAGATGGGAAGAGGGCCGGAAGGGGAGGAGGGGAGAGAGGATAATAGGATTAAGTGAAGCCTGGGGTATTATCTGAACAGCATGGCATATCACCCTTGATGAGGAGAGAAACTCGATGGGCGAGTAAAGATGACAGGCTCTATCCCGTGAGTGAGACCGGACAGAATGATGACCATCAAAGAGACAGTCAAAAGTTCATCATCTCTGAGGAGACCCCATCGCCTTTCACTTTTGCGGGAACACATTGCAGATATAATGCCGGGTCTTGAAGAGGTAGTATTACGGCACGGCTGATCCCCCATGCAAGACAGGCAGGCGGCTCTGCACTTGCAAGCATTGCGAACGTAGTTAGATGGAGGTTGGTCTATTTTGAGGGTGTGTGGTAGTGGAAGGTAGTGTTGCGTTGGCTCCAGCCGGTGAGAGACAGCAGACAGCACAAAGAGGGCAGCTGTTGGTGTCCAGAGATGGTAAGGCTCTATCCACTGGCGCACGTCAATTTTCGTTTCTCCAGATCGTCCAGGCCAGCCCGGGGGTGGTGAGGGAGGATTTCCGCCAGAGAGCTGAGAATAGCAATGAAAGAAGAGCCAAGATGGGGGAGCGGGTAGAAACGTGAGTCCAATGAGACGGCGCGTAGTGGTGAACCCTTGACGGTTGCAATCGCGCCCAGGCTTCGAACACGACGAATCAGAGAGAAGGAAACAAAATAAGCCCACAGCGCCAAACGAATTGTAGGTTGGAGGGAAATAAACGAGAGATGTTGAATGGTCGACTGACTTGAGAGACACGCGCACGCGGCACACGGGAAAGGTTGAAACGGGGGAGAAGGCAGCTGGTGATTCGTGAACAGGATTGAGTGGTTTTGCAGGCGCCGGCCGGGCATGCGGCCTGCTTTCCTAGTCTTAGTCTCTAAAACAACCCTTGTCAACGACTGAACAAGGTATCTCGAGAAGAACCTTGACCAGCCATTTAGCGGCCGTCTTCCCGTCCAAGAGGGCCCGCATTCTGGCAGCTTGAATGACTTTTGAAGACGCCCGGCGGCGGGGAAATCAGACCACTTCTGACCACGGCCGAAATTGCCACGCGACTAGAGATCTTGAACGGGCGACGGGGGCCAGCTCGGATGTCTTCCGTCTACCTGCTCCTCCTTCGGGTCTGGGCGAAAGAGAACTTCAGTATCCAGCATATTCGGGATGATGGGATTCGGAGAAGGACTGATTCCCCGCAGATCACTATCTCTTATTTGTTTTTCAGAATAGGATTGCGATGGCTTGGAGGATTCATACACATGAGTAAGTGAGTATGTAAGTAAGCTTCCTTCAGCCCAACACACACATTATAGCCCACGATGTATTAACAACGCGTCTATCGGCCAACGACAGTAAGATGTCCCGCCCTAAAATGTCCCGCCCGGGCCTGGTGCCGCTGCCGCGAGAACAAAGTCGATGCGACCAACTTCTCCCGGCTGCGTGCTGATTAAGACGGCGGGTCGTGGCAACCACCACAACCGGACTTCTCTCATTTGCTTGGGGGCCGCTCTGGGACCGTTCTGTATGGCTGTCACCTGCAGGCGGATGTCCATGAATAGAAGCGAGGGTGATGGTGGCTGCATGCGCCAACCACCGTCCACTTTCCGTGGTTGAGAGGGGTAACTTCCCGTCTAGTATGCGCGAACACCTCCATTTCGACGACGACATGAAATTGATGAGTTTTATGAGGGTTCTCTACAGAATGTTGCCGTTACCTTGCTCTATTCTAACATTGCGTTCATTCTTGCATCGGACATCCAAATCGTTCTGCATTGTAGTCACTTTGTGCTTGTATTATCAGGCAGGACGCCAATTATATAAGAGGCGCCACCTCCCTGCTCGTTTTCCCTTCTCTCACGACGAACCCATTGGCAGATGCAACCGACTTGCTACATCTATCTCTACATTCCTTATCTCTCTTCAGTATTCCTCTAACGTCCGCAGTGCCCGCGATGGGGGAAAGAATGATGTCCCGGATAAGGCGCAGTGTCTACTCTCTGCCATCCTCTTGACACAGAGAGAAATCCTCACTGCTTGTCGCTTCTCACTCATCAAAGACCTACGGGAGTCACTTCTATCGACCCAAGTGTGAGTTCCCTCTCACTGGTAACAAAAAGAAAGTCATGACAGATACTTTCCTCAGAAAAAGCGGCCGGGCGTAGTTCTGGATACAATTTCATGGAAAGCTTCAGCTTCGCGTGACTAGCCGTGGCGTTCCTCTCATCGGGTCCTTGCATGATTGCTTAGGGTCAGCTCTGGCCCCAAGAAACAATCTTGTCATCAAATCAGTGCGACCACAAACCTGGTTCATGACCTCCCGGCTTGCTTGCCTCATACGGTCTTGCTTTACACGAAAGTACGATTTGGTATGGTATTCCTGTATTGCTGTCGCCATGCTTCTTAGGCATCACCCACCGTCCTTTTGTGCTCGCGGAGTGTGTGATATCAGCCTTCATCAACGCGGACCCTCAAGTGTTGCACCAGGTCCCAAACAGCCAATACTATTTTTTTTGACGCTAGGAGCCAAGACTACTTCCGGCAGATCCAGATTTCAACTACACGTGGCAATTACCCGTTCTGGGCCCAAGAGACCGTAGCACGGAATCTATCTCAAGCTCTTCCGGGACACGAAACCCCAATTTTCATATTGACTCCCTTCCCTTCAGGGTGAGGGACCCATTTTTGGCAGCTTGATGCTATATAGAATTTGCTCTGACTGGTTCGTCGAGGCTCGGAAGGCGGAGCTGCTTCGGCCAGTTTGATATGTTTGTGTCTCTGTCCGCTTCGGGATCGTATAGACTATCAGACAGCAACTGTTTGTGTCGTACATTGGAAACTGTCAAGCTTCACAGTCAGAACTTTTGCTGGCAGGAAACAAGCTGGAATTATCCCGTAAGACACTTTGACCACATGGCTGGTGATGTGTATACAGTGACTCTGACTTGCGATGGTCAAAACTCACTCAATGTCGAAGCTATTTAAGAGGAAACGATCTCTTCACTTTGAACCAGAGATCCCTCACTACAAGGTCTATCTAGAGAACATCATTCAGTCTAAATGGTCCAAGAAATTAAAATGAGCTTCAAAACAGCCATCGTCGTTCTCGCCACCCTCGCCGTCCGGGCCCTCACGGCTCCGACCGAGCCGGCCCAGCCCCCAAACCTGGAAGACTGGACCCTCCTGAACTTCCGACGCACCTGCGCCGCGGACCAGAGCCGGTGCAGCTACGCCTTCCTCATCTCCGAAGATGTGGCCAAGGTGCCCAAGTACTGCAACTTTGACATTGACGCCGCCGGCGGGCTCCCCGCGTACCAAACTGACTTCTCGTCTCTCAAGTGCCCCGGCGTGCCCGAGTACACCATAAACGGCGGCTGGGACGAGCAAGGCTTCATCACGCTGACGGTCATCAACGATCTGAGAAAGCTCCTGTCCTTCTTCGCTTTCAGGGACGACGAGCTGTGGGCTGGCGAGGCGGCGACGCCGCAGCAGTCCAAGGTCTTTGATTACCCGTTCTCGGCCAAGCGAGAGGTCATGGCCAGTCAGGAAGAGAGTGAGATGGCATACGCTTCCAGCTGGAAGATCAAGGATTTCATCAGATGTGAGTTTTGTGTTGGTTTCATGGCGATGTATAACTTGTTAACAGTGTTGCGAAGATGAATTCAACCGAGGAGTTCCTTACAGCGATGCACTTATCATGAGATTCGGCATTCAGAGCGGTCCTTTGACGGAACAGTGCCTCCTGATTATTGCCCTTTTTGAAGGAACTTTACCCCTGGGTAAGAGCTTCGCTGACGCAGCCTGTGGCTACGGTGGGTGGACGGTTTCTTGGGGTCACAACGAGACTACGGACGAGGCGGTCATGACCTTGATGAAGTAAGATTTGAGCTCTCCTTCTCTGACCTCAATGAAGCTGACATTATCTGCAGTGTACACCATGACAGGAGAGCATTCTATGGATTCAACGATGTCAGCAAAAACATCATTCTGGGTGACAATGGACCTAGGCCTGCCTCTCCGTACCGAGAGGACACATCCGTTGAGACTGGTGACATCGTCTCCAAGCTTTCAGCTCACTGACGATGCCGAGAAGCCTCAGTTAGGATACGTGTAATGTTACAGGTCTCTGACCTGTTTTATAACTTCGATTCTTCGTGTGGGTAGTTAGGTGATGTGTTGGTATGGAGGATAGGGAATTCGAAATATTTGTTTATGAACTAGAATAGTCATGTCAAAATATGATTTCATACTGCCTAGAAAGTCTGATTCAGTGAGTGCCTTGAGGCAAGAGATACCTTTCTCTTCAATATATCCAGAAACGGAAACACAGAGCTTCAATACTCGAAGTCTCAAACTTGGTCAAGACATTCTTGGGGTGGTTAGAGGACATGCGCGTTTTTACCTACCTCGCAAGTATTCCGGCCCGCTGGCTCACACACCGAAAAGCCCCCGCAAGTCTCACCATCATCTTTTCTTCATAGCAAGGTGAAACAAGCAGCATCGTTTCTCAGCGATAAACCCGTCATGTTTCAGAAAACCAGCTAGCCAACAGCATATGGAAATTAAGACGCCTGCAGTACGCAGCATTCGGCGGTGACGGCGATCTTGCGGTTACTGGATCTTAGCCGTTCTATCGTTAATGGTTGGCAAGGGAGACGGGCTACGCGCCGCATAGGCGCCAGATTATGAGAGAGCGCCTGATCATAAGTCGAACTTTTCCATCAGGACTCCATCAGATTGGACAGACATGAAGAAGGCCTCCCCGCTCAACCCGCGCAGCTGGTAAGCCCCTCAACCCCAACTGCCACGCTATGGCTGCCAGCAGTTGTGGGCCACTTTCGTCTTGGAGGATCAGCCTGTTGCAAGCGACCCTGTAAGGCATATGACGCCAGTGCCGTGGTTGGCCAAGCATCTCGATGCGACTTTGCGGCCGTGATAGACCGGTGAGAAGCGGTGGGACGCATACTTACGCTCGTGATCACTCTGCAGCTGTGATTACACTCCTGTTCAGGAGCATCCCACCCACCGCCTGGCTAAGTGGTTTTCACAAGAAGCCTCTTTCCAGTGAGAGAGATCGTGGAGGAAGTTCGTGCTAGGGAAAACATCTTATTCCATCTTATTCAGTAGAAGACATTTCAACTGGTGTGATTGTCGGAGACAACCAAGCTGTACGATGGCGTTTTGCACAACAAAACAACTGAGCATCGTCAGGTGGGAAATCTTTGGAGAAGAACCCACGTGAACAGTGTGTACTTCAGGCCGGTTTTCAAGAAGCCTTGATATGTTCACCTTCTGTGCTGACATTGTTCAGGCACGGGGGACTGACCATAACTCAGCGATAGGCAGAGGGGGCAACTCACGATGCGGTTGGTTTCGGAACATGAGGAAACTCGCCCCACCATGTTACGACAACACACTGGCAACTTTGGCAACTGGGCACAAGATCGTCACTTGGGCTTTGCCCGTTGGCCGTAACGGCAGAAGCGGTTGGGACATGGTGCGCGAGGCGTGGTGCAGGGGGAATGTCACACATGAGTGGGCGACGTGGGCGGGCACTTTGTGGGGAGGAGGAGCATAAGCCAGTGGGAAAGCCTCAAGGGCAGTCCGACGAAATGGGAGGTTGGCCTGTGCCCTGTGCCTAGCATAGCCTAGTGCCTAGGGAAGCACTGGGAGGATGCAGATTGGGTGATAGGCCATTGGTTCCAACCGTCGAATAGCTGCAGTTGCTACGACCAAACCCCTGTCTTCAGTGAGCGGCAAACGTCGTCTTCCTGTTGGTTGACCCTCCATCACCAACACCGTAGTCTTCTAGAGTCGCAATAGGTCCGTTGATGTTAGGCCGTTGCTCGCAGCGTTATCCTCGTGGCTACTCGCAAAGTTCCGAGTTCCCCTCCTCCGCTCTCCGCAATTCCCCCCATATACCGTCTTGGGCGCACAAGATTTCTCTCCCATTTCGGGCTGCGCTAAACTTTGACTTGAGTCGGACTCCTTAGCCCCATAATCTTCTATCACCTTTTCCTCTCAGTGTAGTGTTTTCCTTCCTCTATCTTGAATGTCGTCGCCATTGCCTACCGAGTTCTACCTACCACGAGCAGCGAAACGTACGATCGGTCGAGGGGATTCTGACCGTAGGAGATTCGACCTGGTTGTTGTTTCGCTGCGCCCGCCATTAATACGGTCTGACAATGAGGATCGGTTGCCTTCAGTTTGCTCCCCAGGTAGGCGATGTTGACAATAACCTCAACCGCGCCGACTCAGTCTTGAGCAAAGCGAATCCCGACGATCTCGATCTTCTGGTACTTCCTGAGCTGGCTTTCTCAGGTAAGTCAAAAGTCATGAAGCTTCTGCGTTGAACGCGCGCCGGCGGCTAACCATTATCAAGGGTACAACTTCAAGTCGTTGCAACACATATCGCCCTTTCTTGAGCATTCCGGCTCCGGTATAACTTCTCTCTGGGCCCGAACTACAGCTCTCAAATACAACTGCAATGTCGTTGTTGGCTACCCAGAAAAGGTTGACGTCTCCGACAACTGGCCAACTAGTCCGGAGTACTACAATTCGGCCATTGTAGTCAATGGGGATGGAGAGACCATAGCCAACTATAGGAAGACATTCCTTTACTACACTGATGAGACATGGGCTTTGGAAGGCCAGGGGTTCTTCGACGGCTTCATTCCTGGGCTAGGAAATGCCTCGATGGGTATTTGTGAGTTATTCTTCCACAATCGCTTGTCATCGACTATTTGCTAACCCTTGAATGAAAGGCATGGATCTGAAGTAAGCAAGACAATTTTTTTGTTTCTTCTCTGGTAGACAACTGACGCCTCACAGTCCATATAAGTTTGAAGCCCCCTGGCACGAGTTTGAATTCGCCTTTCATGTACTCGAGTGCGAGTCCAATGTGGTCATCATGTCAATGGCATGGATGACCCGTGAAGATGCGCGCATGTTTAGTCGCATGCCCAACGAACCTGACATGGACACATTGACTTATTGGGTCACTCGCTTGGAACCTCTGATCAGGTCAGAAAATGGCGAGGAGGTTATCGTTATCTTTTGCAACAGAACTGGTATCGAGGATGAGGCTGTCTATGCCGGCACGAGTGCGGTCATTGGCATTCAGGACGGCGAGGTCAAAATCTATGGTCTCCTGGGTCGTGGCGAAAAGGAACTCCTGGTCATTGACACCAACAATGCGCCTTACGCCAAGCTCGTTCACCGCCCCGAACCCAACCATCCATCGGTCCTACATGGAGAGTTGGAGAAGATGAACCCATCTCCTGCATCCAGCACCCCGACTGGGTCCGGAGGCTCTCAGTCATCTCAAACCAACAATTCTCAAGCGAACGACACAGCAAATACACCGACCGACTCGAAGAAGAATTCCCCAGGAAAGCCACCTTCTGTCGTTTCTTTCAAAGACTCTGTCGCAACAAGGAGAGTCAGACCATCGCCGCAGATTCAGATTCCTCCTCTACAGAGCTCGGCAGGAGCACTCAGTCTTGACAGCCCAAGCCTACCGACTCCTACTGCGCCTAGCCCTACGCCGCTTTCCATGCGACCGAAGCTGGTTATACCGCAATCTCCATCGTCGCAAATCTGGCAGTCCTTCAGTCCTGTTCCCCAGAGCACGCAATCGACTCATTCGGTCCGCTCGGTACTTTCAAACCATTCCGTCACGTCGAATGGTAGAGCGCCTGCAGATAGCACGCCTTATCCCGACAGTGCCCAACCTCTGAGCGGATATCCCAGGTTTCCAGAGAGGATGATTTATGACGGCCAGGTGGTGATTGCTCAAGGCCCCTACAGCCCTATGACTTCCACAGGTAGCCAGTCTCCTATGTCGCCTCGTTACTTCTGGCGACCCTCGGACACTCTTCTGAAGACGCCCATGGAGCCTCGTGGATGGACAGCTGCTCCGGAGTCACCGATTATGAAGCATGCTCCTTCATCGACGTACCAAAACCTCTCGCTGTGGGCACAGTTTGATCCGACGGGGCGCTCTCATAGTTCAAATACTGTCCGAACCGCCGTCACGGCTGTGACAGCCAAAAAGGACGAGCCAGATTCGAGAAAGCAGAAGAAAGCGGACTCTTCCCGGCGAAAAGAATCTCAGCCGCCTAAATCGAGAAGTGCAAGCAAGTCGCGCGACGAAGAACCCGCACCAGCCACGAATGGAGCTACCCAGACGTCCTCTACTCATGATGCCACACCTGCCCGTCCCTCATCTCCCAAATCTCGTCACGCTAGTCGATCTAGAATGCGCGATCGCTCCGACTCAGCGCTTGCTCATCGCGAGCAGGCTGCGGCGATTTCTCAGCACCTGGAGAATATTTCCAAAAGAGCAGAATCAGTGAATAGGGATCGAAGCTCACCGAATGACACCGAGGCCGTTCAAGTTGATCGTCCGTCCTCTCCGAAATCTCGAAACTGTAGTCGCAGCCGCCCTACGAGAAGACTCTCCTCGATCCTGATCGCAGCAAGTCCTAGCATTTTCCCGGACGAGTCTACTCGGCCAGCGTCCGCTGCTTTGGTCGAAGGGCCCAAGACGGAAAAACCGCGGTCCATGTCTAGAATGGGTCATCGTGCAAGAAGCGAGTCTATTTCTCATGGGGGCAGAAACGCCTCGAAGGATACACGTACTCGAGCGCGAACCCCAGTACCCGATGCCAGAGTCCCAAGTCGACCTGCTTCTCGCACGGCGAGTCGAGGTCGCCAACCCGGACCGGTGTTCTCACCACCCAAGATGTCGCCGAGTGAGAGACCCCCGACGGCCAGGGGAATGTCAGCCAACCATGCCACTCCTGCGAACAGAAAACGAAGGCCATCCGCAAATAACACTCCCTCTACGTCCCCTGGTAATGCACCTGCAGACTTTGAAAAGATTGAGGCGGTTCTTCACCCCAGCTGTCCGGTTCATGGGCGACATTCGACAAGCGGCGTGCGGCCACCGGAGAACGCAGCTGCTCAAGAGACCAGCGAGTCTTCTGACTTGGCCCTCAGGAGATCCCTTTCGACTCCCGCCACAGCAAACGGCAGTGCGGTTCAGTTCGGGTCGATAGAGGGCAGCATTTCACAAAATCCACGATTTTCGGCCATTGTCAACAAGCAGCCGAGCGATGTGACCTCACTCTCTGAGACGGTCGGGACGGTTTCGACGATCAGTCGTTCGCCTTCTACACCGTTTTTCGAGCCAAAGACTCCGACTGCCATGGTGATCATTCGGGACCTGGAGGATGCGGCGTTTGGAATAGCTAGCCAGGAGAAAGAGACTGGCTTGGCGGAGTTGAGGTGCGTGGATAGAAACATGGGAGTTTCTGCCGTTGCTTAGAACTACAACCTCATGGCATTACGAACTTGTGTTTTTCTTTGTTCCTTTTTTTTTTTATCCGAATCGGGATACCAATTCAAGCGGGGAGTCAGGTTTGAACAAGACGTGCGTGAACAACACCGGCACGAAGCGGGACACTCAACAGGAAAGGTAATGACTGAATGGCGAAGGTCCGAAAATGGGGGCTGAATGATATGGAAAGACGGTTAGTATATTGTATGAGACCGGTCTATCTCGAGCATCTTGACTTTTGTGGCGTATGAGCGTAATGCGTTCGCTTCACTCATTTGCTTTTCTATATACGGAATCTGTCGGTACACATTATGGTCACCGGCAGTGCGGATAGTGGCGTTTGTATCGACCAACTTAGCATACCTCTTTTTCTTCAATATTTACCTGGTCTTTTATGATTCTTGTGCCGGTTCCTTCCATCGGACGAATAAACTGTGCTCTCATAAAAACAAGTTTGAGTCCATACTAATGACCTAGCAGACGGAAGCAAATGAGTCGGGGCCCGTGCTTGCTAGGACCCAGATATCGCGCTTCTGCAAGGCACCCGACTTATGGGACCTGCAATGAGCCAAGCAACTTTCGATCTAAGCGGCGCTTCGGGGCCAGAAACCCTTCCGTTATGGCGGCTGAGTGATGTAGCCGAGGCCATTCCAGCCAAGTCACAACGCTCAATGGAGCGATGATCATGCCGACAACAGTATTATGGCGTGCAACGCCACTGAGATGCATGAGGTTATCGTGTGTTTGCTCTATCGACCTGCCTCAGAACTTCACCACCACATCCAACAGGCACCATCTTTCAATATACCGCACAGCCAGACCGGGGATAACCAAGAATTGTGTGCTTTCAGGGCGCTAGGCCGTCCAACGGGCCTCACCTGGTAAAAAGGCAAGCCAAGCCATGTCCAATAAGCGACCGGATGGGCGATTCCGCACTGGAAGTGAGTGCTGAGGTGTGAAATAGGACAGGGATTCGTGCATGTTGGCACTGTCGTATTGGGCGATGGCTGCATTGTGAGTGGCTGGGAGGAGGTAGTTTGTCTGCACGCCACTTCCCACCTCGGCGCTAGGAGGACCAGCAACGACGAAGAGACCCGTCCCCGAGTCTCCACTCTCCCCGGCCGGGGCCAGCGGTGTGAACAGGTGAGAGCATTGCCTTTGGCCACTCAGCACAACCAAAGCTCAATCTTTCAGTCAATCTACTGTGAGTTTGTTAGTGCGGGCGGGCCGTTGGAGAAGACCCGAAGAGGGATGGATGACCATGGGCAATTCCCCCTCTCGCTCAAGGTTCTGTACGATGTCCGGTAGACTATGGTGCCCATCCTGCCATCGAACTGTGCCACCCCAAACCTGCGTGTCCCTCTTCGTTCGGACCCCAATCACACTCTACACCAACAGCGCTGAGCAGCCAACAAGATGCAGATGCAGTCGTGCTCCATCCAAGTGAACGAACGGATGGGTCCCTCGCGCCGACCTGCCACCTCTCGTCACAATCACACTTCCTCCACCCTCTCTCTTGCAAACACCGAAACACATATGAGGCGCGGTTTCGCATAGCTCGCGATCTCTCATCACGTCTCGTCACATCGGAAGCGTTCCTGGAGCTAGTCGTGCTAGTATCTCAGCGACCATATCGCCAGACTCAAGTTTCCCACAAAAGCCCTGTCAGACCCCGTTCGCCCCCCGCAGGCATGTAAGACAGGCATCTTTGCCCTCAGCGATTGACCTCCGAGCAAAGCTCTTTCGTGCGTTGCGGCAGCCTGCCCCGTTAGCGATACTTCGGTCCCACCGGCGAACTCCAGTATCATAACCACCCTCGCTTTTTCTTTCCAAAATGCGTCCCACGACGGGTGCCCTTGTGCTAGGCCTTGGCCTCAGCCGGGTGTCAGCTATCCACGTGGCTACTGGTTCACCTTGCCAGACACTATGCGGCAACGTACTCGATGCGACGACCAAAAACGACGTTGTATGCGACGAGCACTCGTACTCCAGCAGCGCCGGTTCTGTCTATCAGCAATGTGTATCTTGCGAGTTGACCAGTGACTTCGCGACTAGCACCAACGAGACAGACACGCAATGGGCATTGTGTAGGTGCATTATCTAGGTTCCCGGCCGAAGAGCAAGCTGACCTTGTCGGTGTAGATAATTTGCGATACGCCATTTCGTACTGTACCTTTGGATATCCAGACAACCCAAATGTCGGATCGAGCCCGTGTCTCACAAGGTATGTCGAGCAGCGACTCCTCAAACTGTAACATTTAGTAACCATCAAATAGGACTGCATGCGAGCCACTGCAAGAAGCAATCACATACAGTGATTTGGCTTCCAACGTTACCGAGTTTGAGTACTGCGATGTCTGGGATCATAATCAGGTCGCCAGCTGTTCATCGTGTCTCCGTGCAGGGAACAACAATTTCATCAACAACTGTGTGTATCGCAACGGTCCTGTTGTTAGCAGTTGACTGACAAGCTCCTAGTTCTTACCATCCTAGACGCGGGCTGCCAGCAAAAACCTGTGCCCGGCACTACCGTCTCTGTTGACGGGTCTCCATTCTCAAAAACTCGAGTCAACATCACGGAGCCAACACCAACCAATACGTACGTCTCAGACTACAACAGCGGTCCCATCAGCCTCGGCGGCAAGGTCGGAATTGCGATTGGAGGCGTTGTCCTCCTTCTTGTCGTTGCAGGTTTCTGCATCGTGTGGAACGGGAAAAGAAGACGTAGAGCATTCTTGAAGACGCTCGAAATGAAACAGCAGAGTGGTGGCAGTCGGTCCGGATGGCCAACACCGCTCAATACCAGTGGCATCGGCGGTACTCCCCTCAGCCAAAAGCCCTTGCGAACCTGGGACGCCTCGCCGCAGAGCCAAGGGCCTTCTCGTGGATGGGACGATTCACCCATGAGTGCCAATGGGGAACAACCCTACACGAGATACTTCTCTCCATACTCTTCTCAGTACAACAGCCCAGTGAGTGGTGCCGAGGCACCTGCCATGCAATGGCCGGTAAACGACGCGAACCCCCAAAGACAACCTCAAGAGATTGGTCTCGCGTTCGGAGGAGATAGCCAAGAGCAGAGGTGGAATGATTCGAAAGGAAAGGAGCGATCCGAGTCGTACGAGATGAGGGATGTTGAGCCTGAATGGGACACCCGACAGAGATACCCAAGCCCACCTAATGTCCAGCAGCCGGCGCACACGGTCTACGCTGAGCACAACCCGGCAGCCTATCACGGTCTGACAGAGGAGGACCTGCGGAGAGGATACGCCCTCTGATGCGCAATGTAAATGGTACTGAAGGTATCGTGGGATGAACGTATTGCTCCTTCTGCATCCAGTATTTGTTTGTTTTAGCGGGAGTTAGGAGTCGGCGATACCGATTGATCAGCATTGGCTCTGAAGGCTTATAGCAGAACAGGCCTGGGCCGGCCTACTGGCAATATATCTGAGATAATGTGAAAAATCCATCATGATGATTGACGTTCCAATGACACGAGTGCTGTGTGTGAGTGATTGTGATTCTCAGATTGAGCCTGTCGTCATTCGTCCTATTTCCCTTGTGGAGGTGTGGTTGATAAAGATAACAAGCCACTTCTTTGGCTGTTCTTTCCTTCCAAGTTTTCTTGCAAGACGGCTGGTCCCTGGCTGAGGAAGGCGGAACGGTGCAAGGCGCGTCCGCTGTGTGGCTAGGCGTCGGAGCGTGACCAATCGTGCTGGCTCAATGGCAGCACCGCGCCACATTGTGGACCCAGACGGATTTTTTTGGCAGCTTCCACCCCACAGCCAGAGAAAAAAAATTTGGATTGGGAAGCTTCAAGTCCTCCAACACCACGAGACCTTCCATTTCGACGTTCGCGAGCCAACGTCAGACACCCATTGCACCTGACACGCCTTTGTCGGTTTTGGTTCAATTCGGAAACAATGGCCATGGAAATTGTCAAGCACGGCGAGGAGGAGGAGTTCGCCATCAAGCCCCAGGCCTCTGTCCCTCACCTGGACACGAGCAGCTGGCCTCTGTTGCTCAAGAACTACGACAAGCGCAAGTTTTCTCCCCCTTCTTGGACTTGGAGCAGCTGCTCGTCTAGACCATCACAAACAAACGACTGACCAGGCTCCTTGCAGTTCTCGTTCGGACGGGTCACTTCACTCCCATCCCGGCAGGATGCAGCCCTCTGAAGAGAGACATCAAGTCCTACATCTCTTCCGGTGTCATCAACCTTGACAAGCCCTCCAACGTATGTTTCTGTAGTCGCGATACTTCATATGTCTGTCAAGCATACTAAATATTGAGTAGCCCAGTTCCCACGAGGTTGTCGCTTGGGTCAAGCGTATCCTTCGGTATGCAATTCCCATCCCCTCGTTTTTATGTTTGTGAAAGCAATGCCCCGCGCCCGGTCGTACGATTAGCCCCCGACATCGAAGACGGATTTCTCTACGGCAATGGCTAGCCAGCTTGAAAGAAATTGGCATCAATGGTGGCGCCTGGTCAGCGAATTCCGACGGCGACATGACGCAATTTACAGATGGTTCCACACGATGCGGTCGGGGATTCCCCGTTGAAACTTCCAACGACATTGCGATCCGATGGCCATAGCCTACACGGAAACATGGCAACAGCGACTAGCATATCATGTTGGGAAAAATCTAAATTGCCATGGGAAGGCATGCCTCGCGAGGCAGCCGTCGGAACTCGTTTGCCCGGACCACCATGAGACTGCGATGTCTTGGGACTGCGGATACTGCCGTTGCCGTCTGTCAACCGAGAACACACACGATTGAACGATTTTGCGAGGCATTCGCTTATCTTTCAGAACAATCTGAGTTTTGTCGAGAAAACATCGCTAACCATGTTTTCTGTTGTGCAGCGTTGAGAAGACCGGTCACAGCGGTACCCTTGATCCCAAGGTCACTGGTGAGTCGCGTTCCCACATAACTGTCTCGAACGTGTTTTGCTAACTTTCTCAGGTTGCTTGATTGTTTGGTGAGCAGCAACCCACTAAAATGCGATGGAGCATTCCATGAGAGAGAATTGCAACTGACGAAATTTTCCAGTGTCGACCGTGCTACCAGACTCGTCAAGTCCCAGCAGTCTGCTGGTAAGGAGTATGTTGCCGTCATCCGCCTTCACGACAAGCTGCCCGGCGGCAAGGTCCAGTTCGCCCGCGCTCTTGAGAGTAAGTTGATTCAAGAAGATCCGTTGCAACTGCCGAAAACATTCTGACTCGCGATGCAGCTTTGACTGGTGCCCTCTTCCAGCGCCCTCCTTTGATCTCTGCCGTCAAGCGTCAGCTGCGTATCCGTACCATTCACGAGAGCAAGCTCATCGAGTTCGACAATGTACGTCGATCTGCTACAACATGGGGAAACGACTGCTGACCGTGTCTCAATCACAGGATCGCCACCTCGGTGTCTTCTGGGTTTCCTGCGAAGCTGGAACCTACATCCGTACCCTCTGCGTCCATCTCGTACGTCACATTGAATGTCGTTCATTCAGCCTTGTTCTGATTGCTTACATGGATTAGGGTCTGTTGCTCGGTGTTGGTGGCCACATGCAGGAGCTCCGAAGAGTGCGCTCTGGCGCCATGGGCGAGAGCAAGGAGATGGTTACTCTGCACGACGTGCTTGATGCTCAGTGGACCATGGACAACACCAGGGATGAGTCTTACCTGCGCAAGGTCATCTCTCCTCTGGAGACTCTTCTCACTGGCTACAAGCGTGTTGTGGTCAAGGACAGCGCTGTAAGTAATCCATTGCAACCCCTCTCCAAACCCCTCACGGCCCGATGCGACTTTGCGGACAATGTCTCAGTCGCGTTAAACACATGAATCGCTGTTGCATCTGATATTGACGTACCTCACAGGTCAACGCTGTCTGCTACGGTGCTAAGCTTATGCTTCCCGGTCTTCTGAGATACGGTGAGTTGTCAACCCCACGATGTCACATACGATTGACATGCTGATCCGCTTTTCTAGAGTCCGAAATCGAGGTTCACGATGAGGTCGTTCTCATGACCACCAAGGGTGAGGCCATCGCCCTCGGCATTGCCCAAATGTCCACCGTCGAGATGTCGACATGCGGTAAGATTTCTCTCCTCCCATTGCAACCTTATGACTCTTTTGACTAATGGAAAAACAGATCACGGCGTTGTTGCCAAGGTCAAGAGATGCATCATGGAGCGCGACTTGTACCCCAGAAGATGGGGTCTTGGTCCCCTCGCCTCCGAGAAGAAGAAGATGAAGGCCGACGGCAAGCTCGACAAGTACGGCCGCCCCAACGAGGCCACTCCCGCCAAGTGGGTATCCGAGTACAAGGACTTCGGAGCTCCTGCTGGTGAGGCTGCTCCTGCAGCGGCGGCTCCCGCCACTCCCCAAAAGGCGGTGGAGTCTACGACAGCTACTCCCGTTGCAGTCACCCCTGCTAACGCCGAGGATGATGGCGAGTCCAAGAAACGCAAGAAGCACGAGGGCGAGACACCCGACGAGAAGGCGGAGCGCAAGCGTCGGAAGGCTGAGAAGAAGGCGGCCAAGGCCGCGAAGAAGGCAGCCAAGGGTGGTGCTGACGACGATGACGACAGCGAGTAAGCTCCTGCGAGTTTCCTCACCTCGATTGGCTAAGATACCGTGTGTTTGTTGGCAATGGTCGGTGGTTGGCTGTTGTATCATAAAAAAATGGCTTTGGCAAGTGGCGTTTGGCTCTGAATTTCTCTGTCTCTGAACATAGTGCGGACTGGCTGGATAGGAGTAGATAGGTCCTATACGGAAAGCAAAAGTGACGACTACTACTGTCGCATCAGTTCACGTTTTAACCAGAGGCTGTCACTGTCTCGACGTTATCGCAAACATATCAGGAGTTGTTGAGCAGAGGGTGTTGAAACAAAGGCACACGCAAAACGCTGGGTAGGGACTTACGTACTCCCGGCAGCATCCCAGCGGGATTTCAGACTGCAGCACAGTTCGGGTCCCGGACCAACGTGGATCTCGTCCGAACGAGTTTTGTTTGGGAATCTCAATCATAAACAGCGCCAATATACGTGTTCCGTCCTTCGTCCGAAGACGGGTTCCCTACCCTATCACACTATCTGCCTATCAACCATGAAGGGTGAGGGAAAAAATACAAGGAAGCATTGTCACCAAGCATGTCTCAGACCACATGCCTTGGCCAACCAAGGAAACAACAGCAACTGCCACTGACCCTCCTTGATGCCTCGTAGAATTGGGTATAATGCAACCAAGAATACCGTGACCGGGTATAATTACTGGAGGTGCGGATCCCTTCTCAATGCTCCCCTGAGATGGCACTCGTGGCAGCACGTCACCCCCGCCTTTTTTGTCTTGTCCTCTCTTTTTCTTGTCGCTTCCTCGACGCCTTGGAGTCTTCTAGGCACGTGTATTGGGACCAAGCATGGATGCAAATCATTTCCCCCCTTCACAGCCCCCGTGCCCCCCGGCCTCTAGGATCAATGAATGCCGGTTCCTGTTGCGCCTCATCCCTCACGCCCTGCTTCGCCCATGCCCGATCAGCGGGGCGCCGACACCGCCAGTGGAAGATCTCCCCGTGGACCTACAGAACTTACCCATCCCTCCCACCCCGGTCACCGTCCGTCGCCTTGGGAAGGGGGAGGGAAGAAAGAGCCACTACCGTCATCCCGGTCAACCAAAGTACATCCCGTGTGGCACCGCGGTCTGAACCCAACTCCCCCAATTCACCCCAAGAGCCTCCTTTCCTGCCCATGACGACGCGGGAGTCGGGAACAACCAGGATTAACTCTATACCAAGGGTACAGTCTCTTATGTGGCTGCGCTCTAGAGGAATGGGGCGGAAGACGGGTGCCGGAATCCTATGCATGCTATGCAAATCCTTTTTTTCTCCGATCTGGGCAAAATTTCTACCTTAACGTGGACTAGGAGAATTGATGTACAAAAAGGTGAGCACTATTGGATTATCGTGGGGAGGAAGCCTAACAGGATGCTATCTGACCACCCCAACGAAGCCCATCTGACGCGTGCCCAGCCCTAAGAGTGTAAAAATTGATCTTCCAAGCAGGGAAAATAGGAAAAAAGGATTTCAATGCCGGGAGAGAGAGGTTCTAGCTTCGGGTATCCGGTCGAGGCCCAGTGAGGTGAGAGAAGGGCGCAAGTGTGAGAAGCTGCCACGCACTTTGACGACACACACCCCCCCGGCCCACCTGTTTCAAGCATCATCTGCTTTGACGTGCCATGGAACAGAACCCACCACAACCCGTGAGAGGTATCCTCCTCCTGCTACTTGCTCCAGCTCAACAATCTATCCACATGCATTTGCAGTGATAATCTCATTCCTGCATAGCTTAGAGCTGGGCGCAAGCTCAGAGCAAGGGAAAAGATTTCCCAATGTACATGTTTCCGGCCAAGGGAAAGGGGGGGTTCGTCCTCTTACACACCTATACCCACACACACTCGCGCACGCATCAAACTTGTCAGTCTCTTCTTCGGGGTGTAAGCTATTGTAGCTGTAGCTTGTAATGTGTTTATGTGCTTGTTCTGTTTGACTACAAGAAGGGCCCTTCGTCCGCACGATCCTCGAAACCGTTTTCCTTCTCGAAGTTCGCTATGACACTCATGACGGCAGCACTTTGCTTATGAACAAGTAATGTGTACTCAGTAGTTGGGATTCTAATAGACCTATTCCAATTCCTTTCCTCAAAGAGTACAAACAACCCAGACACCCTACCTACCACACGCAGAAAGACCCCTTCTCATCATCAGCCCAGGAAAAAGACTATCTTGGTCTGGACGCGAAGTCTTTGGTCTAGTTTTACATCTGCTTTTGCACTGTTTTGTGTGTTGTTTATATCACACCCCCCTCTTATACATAATTGTCAATATTTATTATACCCCAGAGCGAGAGAGAGAGAGACAGAGAGACATACAGTCGCAATGCTTTCAACAACATCACTACGGCAATATGCCCTCCTCGCAGCAGGCATCTTCAGCCTAGGAGCTTTCCAGCCCGTCCTCGGCGCACCAGTAGACGCCCTTTACGTCGTCGGCCGAGACGACAAGGTCCTCACGCCCAAGATCAACACCGACTTCCCGGACCCGGCCCTCGTCCAGGGCGACGACGGGCTCTGGTACTCCTTCGCCACCAACGGCAACGGCAAGAACATCCAGGTCGCAAAGGCCACGCAGATCTCCGGCTCGTGGGAGCTCCTCGACAACGACGCCCTCCCCAACGTCGGCTGGGCCACGGGGTCCAACACCTGGGCGCCCGACGTGCGGCGGCTCGACAACGGCAGTTTCATCATGTACTACTCTGGCGAAGTCAAGGACGGCGGTGGCCGGCACTGCATTGGCGTAGGCATTTCTGATATCGTCACGGGCCCTTACAAGCCGACGTCGGAGCCGTGGGTGTGTCCGTTTGACCAGGGGGGCGCCATCGACGCTGCCGGGTACTACGACGAGCCGACCAAGAAGCGCTACGTGGTGTACAAGGTGGACGGCAACAACGTCGGCAACGGAGGCGACTGCAACAACGGCGTCGAGCCGCTCGTGGACACGCCCATCATGCTCCAAGAGGTGGAAGCGGACGGCATCAGCAAAGTCGGCGACCCGGTGCAGATCCTCAGCCGGACGGCGGCCGACGGCCCCCTGGTGGAGGCGCCGGACCTGGTGCGCACCGAGGACGGGCTGTATATTTTGTTTTTCAGCAGCTTCTGCTTCAACTCGAACAATTACAACGTCAACTACGCGACGAGCAGGAACATCAAGGGTCCCTACCAGCGGCCGTCAAGGATGCTGCTCAAGACGGGCGACTTCAACCTCACGGCGCCCGGCGGCGCGACGAGCGTTGCTGGGGGCGGGCAGATGCTGTTTCACGGCAACTGTCCCGAGACCTCGCCTCAGCGGTGCATGTATCAGACGAGTTACTCGGTTACCGGCAGAGATGTCATCATCAGTTAAGAAGGCATGAAACAAAAAGAGATGGAAAGAGAAAGAGAGGCAGTGAGAGAGGAGGCGATTAATGACAACAGTAATCATATTTGATGCATGCCGGTTTTGGTTCGTTGAGGGATCAACAGCCGGCAACGAGAAAAGCGTTTGGACATATTTCAGCGATGCAAAGAATGCACAGCCGGAAGTTTAATCCGGGTTTGGATTTTGTTTTTAGGGCGTGTTTCTCCTCATCTGCGGGCGTTTGGATCACATCAACATAGCGACTGGAGCTTTGAACACACACCCGTTTTATGAGACAAACGAGAGAAGAGAGAGAGACATGAGAGAGAGAACAAGACAAAGGGTGTTACACCACACCAGGTTGTCGGAATGGACGGAGACAACGTCGCACGATGACGGATGAATCGGGAATCGAAGGCAAGAATACAAGATATTGGGTTTTCCTTTTTTAGTCTTTTTTTCAGGTTTGGTGAGATATACGAATCACGAACTCCCATGAATCCGTATTGAGAAAAACACTCGAACACCTCAGTGATGCAAAAGTGACAAGCTTTCAGAGGTAAAAAAAGTTCGGCTCAGTAAGACAAGACAAGCAGTCAGACAAGACAAGGTAACAACAGAGTTTTGCCAGGGGTGTAAAGGGAGTCCGAGGAAAAGAAGCTCATGCCAGCAGGGAACCCATGCGGAATTGGGTGCGACATGCTTAACAACCCCCCTAATAGCAGACGTCTGGTAAAAGGGTTGTCAACCAAAAAGGGAACTCTCGAGAGATAGACAGGCCGGGATCTGGATGATTTCCTTAAAGGCATTGAGATTGGAAAGGCGACCGGGGTGGTGTGTATTGTGGCTGAAGGCTGACGGGTCAAGCATGGAAAAGGGAGAGATGCTTCCTCCATAGGGTGATGGAGAAGAGAATGAGAGAAAAGGGCAAGAGCATTGACGAGACCCAGAACTGATCGCCAACGAGCGACAAGCCAAGTACCGCGGTACCTTGGCCGGACCCCACCTGTCCACTTGGGTCCCGCAGTGGAACCGGCTGGGCCGAGCTCACGGCTTTAAGTGGAGACTGCAAATGCCCCGATGGAAGGAGCCAAAGAGAACCAACAGTGGGAGACAGGCGTGGGAGGAAAGACGGGAACCAACTGCCACCTCACTGCCAGTTGTAAGCGCCGGGCTACGCTGACTGTCACTCACACTTTCATCTCACACTCCAACAGAACAGACCTGACCAACCAGATCAATCGCCAAACGCCGTATTCCCATTGGCACAATTATTCCTCACTTTCCTGCCCCCATCTCCCAAGGCCCATGGGTGCATCTCGCAGCCGCCCGCCATCGTCACTAACATTGCACAATGCATCCCACCAACGCCAGGCACAGGCACAAGCACACTCGCGGGCACACATACACGCAAAATCGCCAGGGGAAAAAACCACACTATCGATCGCTTGCACCACCGTATTGGGGGCAGACGGAGAGATGGCGCATCCTCCAGCGGCCGCTAACCAAATACACATCGCGGCAGACCAACAAGCTGCCGCCCTGAGGTGTCGCGCCGCACACCGTCCTACAAGTGCTGGGAAGTCTTTAGCGCTCTATCGTCTTCCTCATCGCCTGTTCACCTGACGAGCTCTTTCCAACAGGAAGACAATGCTCTCCTCATCTTGTCGGCAAACGGCGTCTAAGCAGTCCAGTTCTGTACGACTGCTCGAGTCCAGAGTGCCCACCCAACTCCCCGCCCCCTCCATCACTTCATAACCGTAATCCTCGGGAACCTGCGCAGGCCTATTATTGGCCGCCTCGATCCGGCATCACCACACCCTCTGCCGATGCCGACGACCATCTCGAACCGTGGTCGAGCAGATGGGCGGCAGGACGACGGGCCCGTCTCCGGCTTGGGACGCCGCTCTCTACTCTATCTGGCTGCGTTTGCCAAATGCCTGCTACACCGTATCTCTTACTGTGTATCTTTCCCCATACATTCGGGATCCTTTCTGATGAGCCCTGCGAGCTGCAGGTGACTCCAGACCATCACCTTACCATTCCAGACCATCCTGTTCCTGCAGCTGCAGATGGCCCCCCCAGCCCCCTGCTCGAGTGAATGGTGGAGATGGGATCAGCGTCTTCTGCGAGATATATCACCTTGCTCTCCCACCTCGACTTGGAAAAACATTCACTTTCTTGCTAAGCTTATTTCAACTGTTTTTGTATGCAATTGTTTCGTTTGTGTTCTTGGCTTGCACTGGGCGATATCTAATACCCATTTCTCGAGATATCAACTCTCTATTCTACTATCTTTAACCTAATTACAGTTTGCAAGGCTCTGGAGTCTTTGCTCTGCTCTACTTCCACTACACTCATTAATCCCTGTTCAACCGGCCGTAGCCTACAATGGCCGCTCGATCCGCCCTTCTCCTCCTCACCACAATTGTACCGGCCTGTGTATCAGCACTCCAAGTCACGCCCAATTCGCCATGTGCATCCTTCTGTCTAGACTCCAACGGCCTCGATGCCTCGGATCCCAACTCGTCCAATACCAAGGGCAAGGACATCACTTGTGTGGACGATGATTACAAGACTGGGGCCGCGGGACAGAAATACCAGCAATGCTTGAGCTGTCTTCAGGACAGCACCTTTGTTCAGGGCAGTGAGAACGACCAAGACTGGTTTCTGTGTAAGTCTTACAGCAATCACAGTTGAGGAACAGGGATGCTGACCAGCACTATCAGACAACATGAGGTACTCATTCGACTACTGCATCTTTGGGTACCCCAATGCCACTGGCGTAGGCTCCAACCCTTGCCAGACATCTACGGCATGTGGCGCGTTAGAGGCTGCTCTCACAGACGGTGAATTGGACCCAACAAAATCATCACAATACGCATACTGCGATGCGGATGGCGGCGCCATGCTCGGCTCAGCCTACGACAAGTGCCTTTCGTGTGTAAGAGCAGGCGGTGAACATTACTATCTCTCAAATTGTATGTAACCTCTTAGTCGTCAGTATCCAGCAGGCACACATCTAACATACTTCGTAGACCTCGTTGCCCTTGGAGCTGGCTGCCAGCAGAGACCAAACCCAGGCACACTAGTCGGCCTAAACGATACTGTCTTCACAAAGGGCATCATCACCGTCGTCGACCCAAAGGATGCGGCAGATGCTGACAAAGCTAAAACTCCCACCCTCCCTATGACGGCCATCGTGGGCATCGTCATCGGAGCCATCGTAGCACTCCTCCTGGCTGCCGGCTGCACCTTCATCCAGTGCCGCAAGCGCAGGGCGCGCAGACAAGGCCGCGGCATCAACCCAGAACTGTCTCGCCGCGCCAAGGGCCACCGCCCGGCCTCATCTCTCTCGTTCCGCTGCCAGACGCATCTCACACCAAAGGAACCAAACTTCTTCTCCGTGGAAGAAGAAGAGGCGCAAAACGAAAAGTATCACTACGAGTCCATGCGGCACCAGCAGCAACAGCAAGACATGGCCCCTAGCCACGTATCAAAACCCAGTCTCTGGATGCCACATAACTCCATCACCTCCTTCACAGCCGCAGACCACATCCCCTACACCGACAAGAAGCCCTCGCAAAAGGAACCCCTCACCCTCGCAAACATCACCACAAGCCTCCCCATCATCCCCGTAAAAGCACACTCCCCGAAATACAACATGGCCTCCCCGCAAGACGAGTACGCCACCCCCACGTCAACCACCTCCGTCGCGCCGCTCCTCTCCTTCAGACCCTACGTTCCCTCAGAACACGGCTTCTCTACCCCGTCAATGGGCAACGCGGCGACCTTCAGCCCGTCCACCACCTACGCCTCCCCGACCTCGGGCACGACGGCGAGCCCCTTGCTAAGCCAGGCCGGCTGGCCCGCGCCTGCGCCTGCGCATAATCGACACATCCACACCGAGTCGTCGCCGCTGCCTCCATTGGTATCGGATGCCTCCAAGACCATCCCTGGCATCGTGCGGGATCTGGCGCGGCCGTTGCCGAAGAGAGTTACCTCGTTGGGAGGCAGCCCCGTAGAGAGCTACAAGATCCAGGTGGCGTTCCCGCCGCCACCTCCGCACAAGAAGAGATAGTTGTCATGTTTGAAGCTGTCTAAAGAGCTTTCCCTCTGGTTTCATTTGTTAAAGTCATGGTCGGTAGCGAGTGGCGTTTCGGAGTAGATCTACAACATGACGAAGTAAGCGGGCACGGGAACACGAGGTTCATCATACCCAATACCAGACAATAATATAAATCACACAGGCATCTTCTCATTTCACATCGCAAAATCAATCGTGACCATGCCTGCACTTCTCAATTTACGCTTATTTACGCTCATTTACGCGAAAACGTAACAATCCAAACAAGTCTCTTCTATGGGTATTCGTAGCCCGTGTTGTTTTTTGTGTACCTTTACAAAGACGAGAACTACTAATAGGGGAAAAAAAGAGTGCCCTTCATACTCCGCGCCCGAGAAACTAAACCCTTGAAAAACGCCAATGCTGATGCATATCATACGTATCCCGTCCCTCCGTCCCTTTCACCGATGACCACTTTTCCCCCACGGCGAGCTAGCCCTACTCGCCTCCTCCGCGTGCATCATCTCGTTTTGTTCCCTGAACCAATCCGCCCCTTCGTCAAGCTCGATCCTCGAACTCCTCAACGACTCCAGATTCTCCCTCGCCTCCCTCAGTATCCTGTCAATCTCCGCATTGCTCGACGGCCGCTTCTTGACGCGTGTGACGGCTTCGTCCGCGACAGCAATCTCGTTGTCGTCGTCATCAAAAGCCCGTTTCCTCTTACTAAGCGGGGAGATCCCGTTGACTTGCGGCACGGCGGCAGCACTGCCACTGCCGCTGCCACCGTTGAGCGACTGCGAAAAGCGTAATCGGGCCTCGGCTGCGTGGTTGAGATTCGCAGAGACGCTCCGGCGTCGCTCGGTGCCGTCCAAGCCGAATGACCCGAGCCCTGCATATCGTTTCCCATTGTACCGCATCTCGTTTGCGATGGTCTCCGGCAGCGCTGTTCCGTCAGGCATCGTAACGAGCCCCATCGCCTTCAGACGCCAGCGGTCAGACACCTTGCTAACGCGCTTCTGCGGCTCTGAAGACAGTCGTGATGACGAGGAGTGTGCTGACATGGGAGGCAGTGATCGTCGGAAATTGGTAGCGCTCTTGCCAAACTCTTCCCGTATAGCCCGTGTCTTCGCGCCGCAGGGTTTAGCGCCCGTAGTCGACTGCGACAAGGCTGTTGACGAGCGAGATCGAGGTAAAGGCGTGTTCGTCGCAAGTGTTCCCATCGTCGCTGGAGCCCGGATAACATTGGCGGCTGCGACTCGTTCATCTGAGACGCCTGACAGAATGCCGGTCGCTAGCAAAGCCTCTGCTTCGGCTTGCAAGTCGGCTTGTGTGCCGTCTTTTCTGAGCTGAAGGAGCTCTCTGAATTCCTCCACAGGGTCGAAACCATTCCTCTCCAAAGCCCTTTTCTTTGCCTCGGCAATTTTAGCCGCCTTCTTCCTCTGCCTAATCTCTTCCTCCCGTTGTTCCCGCTGAGCTCTTCGGTACTCCTCCCTTTCTTGTCTGCGAAGCTTGGTGAGGCGAAGGTTTCTGGCGATTTCCCTCCATCGATAGAAGTACTTGACGGAAAGGTTGTAGACCTGGAACTTCCGTGCTTCTGCCAGATCTCTCTCTTCCTCCTCCCTTCGTTTCCTGTCCTCTTCCTCCCTGTGATGCTGTTCAAAAGCGGCCGAGACGAGCTGCTCAACCATGTACTTCTCGAACTCTTGTATCAGCCCGTTGTCTCCTGTAACGAACCATTTCGCGAAGTCGGCCATGACATCTTGCTTAGACCGCTGTTTCACGGGTGGAGCTTGAGGAGGTTTTGCTTGGGCGAGCGGTGAAGCTGCAGTTGGTACGGGCGAGGCGACAGCTGAAGGCAAGTTCTGCTGAGGTGAGGGCGCTGGCTTCACGGTTTCCGAACTAACCCCCTGGAAGTTGAAGGAAGGTAATGGGGATTGCCCGGACCCGGCTGTAGAGCTAATGGGTGTCTGAGAGAGAACGGATGGAGCTGCCGTAGTAGGAGCAAGGCTGGGAGGCTGATTCGGTGGAGTTTGAAATGTTGTAAAAGGCTTTGTCGGCTGAGCGGGAGCCGCCGCGCCTGCCGAGAAGGAGGGTAGCTGTGGTGTCGCAGACGCTTTCGGAATTGGCTGGAAGGGGCTGCTAGGAGCGTTCGGAGTCGCGGACTGCACGCCAGGATTTGATAGAAATTTGAAAGGCATTGATGACTCTGCGGCTGTGGCTGACGTTGGCAATGGGAACTTTGGTGTGGGCGGAGTGACGGTGATGGCCGGAGAGCCATCTGTCGAGGCAGCTGGCTGCGCTTGCTCCTGCGCTTTCGGTTGTGCGCCGGTGCCGAAGGCCGGAAAAGGGAAATCCGGGATACTCGGAGCTTTGGTCTGGGAAGTGCCATTTGTTTGGTTTAACGACCCGAATGGATTGTTGCTAGGTGTCGCGCTCTCGGCTGCCGCGTTTGGCTTGCCAAAAGGGCTTGTCTCTGTGGCAAATGGATTCAGAGCCGGCGCTGCTGTTGATGACGATGACGAGGCCGAGCCGCTTTGTTGAACAGAGGATGCGCCAGTGAATGGTGACGGAGCTGTTGAGAAAGGGTTTCCAAACGGGCTGGAATTTGTCGAGGTAGGCTTATGGCCTTCGGTTGCTGTGGGACACAATGTTAGCACATATTCGGCTTGGCTATGCCTACCCTCTTCGTCTTGTGCCAATGACAATATATTGCTAGTCATCTCGTCCTGCTTGCGATTACTGTTTAAGCGCTTCTCAACCTCTGAGACGGCTGCCAGTCGATCAGCCGCACCAAGTACTGCCACGTCTGAAGTCTGGCATAGTGACGTTTGATCTTGACTGAAGAGAAATGGTCCGGCGGAGGAGAGTCGCAATAAATTTGACGCCGACAAGGGTGCTGGTAGGCAAGAGGCTACAACGATACGGGTAGTGTGTGGAAGATTCTTTACCTTTGTCGAAAAACGGCGTACCCGTGAGTCCCGTCGAGGTGCCTCCTTGGGGTGCCGAAGAAGGCAACTTGAAAAAAGGAGAGTCTGCGTTCGTTGCTGAGTGGCTTCCAAAAGGAGCCTGCTGTGGAGGCGGCTTGAATGAAGCTGGTCCCGTCGAAAATCCTACAGGAGCCTGCTGGCCAGCGCCCGTGGATTCGTCGGCAATTGTGCGGTGTATGATCTCAGGAAGACTACGAGAGCCTCGTTTTCTCTCAACTAATCTCTGAGAGAAACTGTGATGGATTCTGGGCCATGTCATGCGTTGTGAGGTATCCAGATATCGTATGGGTTCGCCCGCTGGTCCTTGTCCATTCGAGAAGCTGAGACCATGCTGCTCGACAAACTCAATCGCCTGGTTTTCTGTGTCGAAGTGAAGAAATCGGTTTAGCGAAGAGGGCGTGATGTCTTTCGCCCCATGTCGTGGTCTGGTGTACGCCTTCTTCAGAGAGCGAAGAACTGAGCGGCGCAGCTGACCTAAGTGAATCTCTGCAAAACATGCCATTGTATAAGACACTTCTCGGCTTTGGAGGATTCTAAAGTAAGTGAGGTGTGCACCCGATGTTGCCATGGACGGGCCCGAGCCCAAAGGACCGTGGAAGTCCTCTGCGCTCTGCAGACTCTCGACGAGTGAGACAGCTGTTCTGATTGTATCGGATTCGGTCCAGAAGCGAGAGTCTCCCCATTCTTTTTGCACGTTATCGAGGATATTGGGAGTATTTGCGCTGAAAAGCAAATGATACGCCCTGAACTCGGCCTCATTTTCGCAAACAACACCTTGCGGCTTGCAATCGTCGTAAGCAAACATAAGCGAAAGCAATGCCTTGCCCAGTTGCTCAATTTCTTGTTGTTCAGAGAAGTCCTCTGGCGCAAATCCTTCCTGAGAAAGCAAATGTAAAGCTGTAACGTGAAACCTGGCAATTGTCTCGAGACAGTAAACCTGGTCCTTCATCTCCTCGGGAGACATTGTCGAATGAAAGATGAAGTCCCTGCGAATCGCACGTGTTCTATCCCACAGAAAACCATGCGAAGAGGGTAACTTGTCGTCGATCGGTAAGAGGTCGTCGATGAGGTAGTCGAGCGTCCTCCTGAGAGCGGCTGTGGATCTGACATCCATTGGTAGCGGAGCCTCCTGGCCAGCTGCGGAACGCGCCAGCTTCTTGACCATCTTTGATGTGTTGGCGAAAGTGGTTCGGGGGTCCTTTTCGGCAGACTGAACGTCGAATTCGGTGATGCGAGTAATCTTCTCGAAGTCGGGGCACATCGCGTCGCAGATGCCTTTGAAGTCAATCGCGTCTTCCAGCCTCTTTGGCTTATCCGGGTCGTCGATCAAGCCGGCGCGCATCAATGATGTCCTAGCCCGATCGCGATATGTCTTGTATTCTTCCCTGAACTTGGCCATCGCGGCCTTGGACGATGTATTTCCTGGATCGGACGGCCATTTTGGCGGTGCGATTCCATCCTGTCGTAGTTGCGAGAAGATTTTGTCGGAGTACGCAGTGCCGTCACCATTCAATTCGCCGTTCGCATCGTCCGTTTCGTAGTCGGTAGATCCCGAGCTGTGTTTGTGGTGGGTTTGGGTGCCGAAACCACCGCGCGACTGGGTGGTTCCAAACCCTTTCGGCGCCTTCGCGCCATTTGGCTTCGCGCCATGCGACTTGAGACCCTTCTTCTTCAAGTCGCCTTGTGAATCTCCCTTCGTGTTCTTCCGTCGTCGGTTGTCGTCTGAGCTGGCGCCATCGAACGGGTTGACGCCCTTCCGCTTTGTCGCAGGAGTCGTCATATCGGGAGGCTGGTTATTCAAGTTGCGTGTCGACCGCTGCCCACCGCCGGCGCCCGCCCCATTGAGGCCGAAAACGTTTTTGCTCGCGTCAGGCCGACTTCCGAAGCCACCAGTCGATGTGCCTCCGAATGGCGATAGCTTCCTGTCGGGTCTGCTGGGAGGGAAAGAGACCGACGTCATGTCGGATTCGCGAAAGGAAACTCCAAGAAGTAAACTACGAGGCAGACAAGAACCGAGTGGAGAACTAG